TAAATGTTATTAGAAACTACTGCTGGTGTGTATTGCAGGTTCCAGGTGCAACGGGAAATTTTGTTTTTATAAGAGATGCAGTGTACAAGAAGCCGGACGTTTCATTGCTTCCATTTCCTACTTATTTTGCACCAGAAGACGAGGACCCTGAAAAATTGGAATCTTTGGTAGCTGATATTGGTGATACAGACCCCTTCATGGCAGCAGATTGAATGAACTCAAAAGGCCACACTGCTATGTCTAATGTTTTGGTTTTGTTTTATTTTTAGGAGAAGTGGTGTAATTGGTTTAAATGGTTTTTTTATGCCTTTGAGATTTAGATTGAACTAGAGCATAGTTCAACAAGCCCTTGGGATGGTTCGTTTTGAACTCGTTGGATTTGGCATGCTACAAGAATAGGAGGTACTAAGAGATGTAGTTCGATTATATTGTGAAGAATCCATGCCTGGGTTTTCATAATGTTTTGCTGTCATTATTGTCAAAATTCCTTTAATAAATCAATGGTGACGAAAATAAAACATGTACTTTACGGAGTGTTTAATCATCCTTAAAAGGACAATCTTTGTACACCTCCTCAAGCATCTACATATTGCTTGTTGTTTGCTAATTAAGGGGAAAAAGAAGTGATTAAGGTTACATCAAATGAACATCTACGGACTACGTTGGTTGAATAAAAAGGTCGACTATGAAAAAAAGAGAGAAAAATGTAATGTGAATGTGCGTGTATAGGTTGACAGATGAAGTGGGGATGGAATGAAACTCGGACGGACGATCAGTTTTTGAGGCCAAGAAAGTAAGGCACACCAGTGGTGGTCAGCCATTGGTCGGCTTGGATGAAAGGGGCAGCAGTGAATTGAAGAGCATCGTCCCTGTTTGTTATGACACTGTATCCTTTCCACTTGACCCGCTTATCGGTTGGTGCCCCAGGTCCCTTGTTTGCATACTCCCTGTAATACAACGTATCCAATGCAAAGTTGCCACTCCAAGGCATCCACCCTGCTGGCTGTATGAAATCCGCAAGTGTAGACTCCATTATTATCGTCTTTGAGTACTTCTTCCACGGCCTTCCCAGATAAGTCGGTATTTTGAACCTCAGTGGTTCCAATTTCTGCTCTGGTACTATTCTGCAGTTTTGTATCACTATTCCGGTGGTCTCCTTGCTCTGAGTTCTCCCTTGTGCCGTCACTGTGTTCTGCTGGTTGTCCATTGGTTTCCTCACTATGATTAAACAGTTCTGTATAACTACAGCAGAATCTCCGAATATGAAATCCACTGTTCCTGAGATGACGCAGTTACGGTAGAACTGGCGATGTGTCTGTGCGTACAAAGTGTCTTGATACCCATCCATTCTGCAGTTGTAGAATGCAGACATGTCCGATTGCACCCGTAGAGCCACTGCCTGGTGTCCCTCCGGCCCTGCTGTGTTTCTGAATCCCATCGACTTGGCTATGAATCCATCCCCAATTGCAACTGCATGCCCGTACATCCAAATTCATCAATATTATATTAACAATATGTACATTTATATATAACACGTGCGAACATGCGTGCGTGCGTGCATGATGATATTGGTAGTACTTACTGAATGGGGCCGTCTGGAAGGTGGATACACCGTCCGTAAAGCACTTCTTACCGGTGACAATGCTCTTTCTGGGTCCATCTCCATACATGTACACGTTAACCAGGTCCTTTGTTATGGTCACAGTCTCGTCGTAAACTCCAGCCTTTACGTATATAACATACCTCCCTTTGTGATTCTTGGGATATGCTGCAAGAGCTGCACTTATGGTTTTATAGCCACCACTTCCATCCTGTGCCACCACCGCATTGGGCGCAGGTTGGCCACCACCGCCGCTTTTGCTAGCCAGCAATTTCCTGTCTCCAGCAGGGAGCCATGCAGGAAACGACGAGGATGAAGACGTTCCATCATCATCATGGTCATGGTCTTCTTCAAGTAATCTTCCGGAGGAGGCTGCGGTGGAGTTGAGAATACTATTACTAGGAATATTAATGTTGAATGCCTGAAATATTTGAGAAATAACGGTGACAATGGCGAGAGCATTGTCGGTGAGCTGAGTGGCATTGAGGAGGCCATCGGATATGGCTTTCTGCAGCTCTGGTGTTGTGAATCCATCGATGCACGTTTGCTGGTATGAAATGACAGCACTGAGCCAGTTCTTGAGCTCCGCTTCTCTATCGGAGATGGTGTGCAAGCTGCTGTCACCGACCATGGAAAATGAAGCCTGGAGCTCAGCAACAGCATATTGAAGAAGATCCTTGCAATCCTCAACAGCCATTTTCTGCTGGGGATCGTTGGCAGATTTGCCTATCGTGTCTGGGAGGCTCATTGCAGCCTGCACCTCTTGGATGGCAACATTTATTGCAGCTTGGAGAAAGTCCATTGGTGTTGCACTCTCGTTGTTTGCTACGGTGCTGAGGCTGTCAGCGCATGTTTTCTTGTAATCTGTCTCTCCGCAAACTGTAAACACTGCCTTGCTGCTGGTCCAGAGACCTTCTTCTGTGGCTTTCTCAGGATTCACACCCGTTGTCAGGCCGATCACCACTCCAACAACCAGAATCACCCATACTCCTACTATCACAAACTTACCACCACCCCTCGTCATCTATCGATCCAATATCTCTTTATTAATTATCTATCGATCCAATATCTCTTTATTAATTCTTGATTGATTGATTGATTATATATGATCTCTTATCGTACCGTACCGTACCGTACCTACTGTGTATTATTATAAAGGTATAATACATTTGTATGTTAATAATAGTTATACATCTATACATATATATATATATAGACAGATAGAATGGAATGGATGAGACTCCAATTAGGATATATAGGTAATAAATAGAGGGGTGGCTGATAATATTTGTGGGACAAAGAATGGATGTGTTGAGTTGAGGTGGTTATATCAGTTTCATTATTATTAGTGTGTGTGTGTTTGTGTACGAGGAAGAGAGGTTCACAATCAACAAAGATGAGCGATTCATGTATTGTATTATGGGGAACTTCATTACTAATTACTACTTAGCTTAGTGTACAAAGTATATCAATATCTTTATTTTTACCTCTCAAAATTATAAAATAAAATTATTAAATATTTGATTTCACATGTATCATTAATATAATTAATTACTATAATATTAAATGCATATAATCTTTCTACTGTGTGTTTCAAACACTTTCATGTACACATAATGTACAATGCTACAAGCACAAGATGTGTTATTTCTTTGATTTTGGCGAAGAAACACAAGAAAAGTAAAGTAAAAAATAATAATAAAATGTATATGTGATATTATAAATTAAATTAAATTAAATACTCGTTAATTTGCTAATAATAATTTATAGAGGTGTATTATAGTTAAGAGTAAATATTAAAGAGGAAAAACAAGTATTAGTGGCGTGTCCACTCAGAGAGTCGCGATTCCAAAACCCTAGTGGAGAGTAACGCCGTAGAGAGAGAGAGAGTGGTATAGAGAAGCACACACCGCGTCCACTCGGAGGAAACTCACGATTCCATTCTCAAACCCTCGACTCGTTTCTTTCTTCCGATCCAATTTCATTTTATGTTTCAATTTCTCCAAAATCAATCTATGTTTTCTTCGTCAAATTCTGCAGATTCCAACACCTTACCATCTTTCAGGTTCGCTGCAGATTTTCAGTTACATCTTTTTAACTTTTCATATTCTCTATCTCTCTCTCTCTCTCTCGCTTTTTTTTTTTTTTTTTCAATAAATAATTTTGATACCTGGTTCGGCCGAATCTAAAGTAGTCTTCTTTAACTGTGATGTTTAGCTAATTTACTACCTCCTACAACTGCAACTGCATCACCGATTCTTTGCTAAGTTCCTCGAGTTTAGTTTTAACTTGAAGTGATATTTTCTCTGTTCTGCTGAGAAGCTTTTTGTTCTCTAAGGAAGCTGCATAGTCTACTTTTAAGTTTAAACTCCACAGTAGCTAGACCCTATACCTGATGATAATGTTCTTTGTTTGCAATTTATCATTACGTGTAATGTAAAATTGCTAATTCCGGTGACAAAAATAATTGGGGTTTTTGAACTTATAACTGCTCAAAGGTTGTTTCATGTAATTCCTAAGTTGCACTGAATATTAGAGATGACAGAATATGCTATGCAGCTTCTAAAAGAGATATTCAGATTGCTTATTTTTTAACCGTGTGTTACTAAGAAATGGAACTATTGCAATGTTTTGAGCCTATTCTGATTGCTGCAGGAAAGAATAGAGTAAATGGTCTGAAGATGGCCTCCCTTCGATCTTCTGGATATGTAGACCCAGGGTGGGAGCATGGTGTTGCTCAAGATGACAGAAAAAAGAAGGTGAGATGTAATTACTGTGGCAAAGTAGTTAGCGGTGGAATTTACAGGTTGAAGCAACATCTTGCCCGGCTTTCTGGTGAAGTAACTTATTGCGATAAGGCTCCAGAAGAGGTGCGTTTAAAGATGAGGGATAATTTGGAGGGGTCCCGAGTTGGTAAGAAATCAAGACAAACTGAGTATGAAGAACAGTCTTATTTGAACTTCAATGCTACTGATGATGTAGAGGAGGAAGAGAATGTTGGATATAGGAGAAAGGGTAAGCAATTGTCGGCAGATAAAGATTTGGCGTTGAACATGACTCCACTTCGTTCATTGGGATATGTTGATCCTGGTTGGGAACATGGTGTTCCTCAGGATGACAGGAAGAAAAAGGTAAAATGCAATTACTGTGAGAAGATTGTCAGTGGTGGTATAAACCGGTTTAAGCAACATCTAGCAAGGATACCCGGTGAAGTTGCTCCTTGTAAGAATGCTCCAGAGGAAGTATTTCTCAAAATAAAAGACAACATGAAATGGCATCGTACAGGTAGGAGACACAGACGGCCCGAAACTAAAGAGTTATCTACTTTTTACCTCAACTCAGAGAATGAAGAGGAAGAAGAGCAAGAAGAGGAAGAAGGTGCAGCATATCCTATGGGTAATGATAAAATTGTACTTGGTGGTGACAGAAGATTCGACAGAGATTCGAGAACAACTTTCAGAGGATCGTCTACTTGTAATGGGTCTGAACCGTTGTCGAAAAGGCCAAGGTTTGATGTCAATGCTCTTAGGACACCCAAAATTCAGATGCCACTATCCGGGAAACAAGTAAAAACAGGTTCCTCCAAGAGGTCCAGAAGAGAAGTCATTTCTGCAATATGCAAATTTTTCTATCACGCAGGAGTGCCTTGTCAAGCAGCCAACTCCCCATATTTTCGTAAAATGCTGGAGTTGGTCGGTCAGTATGGCTCAGATTTTGCAGGACCTTCAAGCCATCTACTATCTGGGCGGTTTCTACAAGATGAGATCTTGACCATCAAAAACTACCTTGAGGAATACAAGTCTTCTTGGGCAGTTACAGGGTGTTCCATTTTGGCAGATAGTTGGAGAGATTTTCAGGGCAGAACATTGATCAATATTTTGGTTTCTTGCCCTCGTGGAGTATATTTTGTTTGTTCCGTTGATGCAACAGGCTTAGTTGATGATGCAACCTATATATATAAATTGCTTGACAAGGTGGTGGAGGAGATGGGGGAGGAAAACGTTGTGCAGGTAACCTTTTTTTTTTTCTTTTTAATTTTTATTTTTCTCTTTTCTATGATACCTTATTGTTCCCACCACAAATAAAAATAAGAATAAAACACCGTTCTTCTCCTTCGACTTTGACTGTAGGTAATCACTCAGAATACACCCAGTTATCGGGCTGCTGGTAAAATGCTTGAAGAAAAGAGAGAACATTTATTTTGGACACCTTGTGCTGCCTATTGTATTGATCAAATGTTAGAGGAATTTATTAAATTAAACCAGGTGCGAGACTGTATAGAGAAAGGGCAAAAAATTACAAAATTCATCTACAATAGGATCTGGTTATTGAACCTTATGAAAAAAGAATTTACTGGAGGTGAGGAACTGTTGAGGCCGTCAGCCACTCAGTCTGCTTCAAGTTTTACTACATTGCAAAGTTTGCTAGACCACAGGATTGGTCTTAGAAGAATGTTTCAATCAAACAAATGGATTTCGTCTAGATTTTCAAAATTGGATGAGGGTAAAGAGGTGAAAAATATTGTGATGGATTCGTCATTTTGGAGGAAGGTACAGTTAGTTAGAAGGTCAGTAGACCCTATAGTGGACGTACTGCAAAAGATGAGTAGCGATGAGAGTCTGTCAATGCCATTCATCTACAATGACTTGTACAGGGCAAAGCTTGCAATAAAAATCAATCATAATGATGATGCACGAAAATATGAACCCTTTTGGAGTGTGATTGACAATCACTGGAGTTCACTGTTACATCACCCACTCTATCTGGCTGCTTACTTCCTCAATCCTTCATACCGGTATCGTCCAGACTTTATTCTGGTAGGAGAACGATTGTCCTTCTGGAAAAAATCATAAAAAAATAATTTAAAGATATAAAAAAGTTGTTTTTGTTTGAATTTATAGGTTTTGCTAGCATAACAATAAAGTGTGCATCTTGTAGCATCCAGATGTTGTGCGCGGTTTGAATGCCTGCATGGTGAAATTGGAATCAGACAATGCTAGAAGAATTTCAGCATCTATGCAGGTATTGATATTTTCTAGTTTTATTCGAGTAAATTTAACATTTTGAAATTCAAACTATATGCATTTTCCGCTTCAGATATCTGACTTTGGGTCTGCAAAAGCTGATTTTGGAACTGACTTGGCAATTAGTACCAGATCAGAGCTTGATCCAGGTTATTCCATTAAAAATACTTGAACCAAAAGCTAGGGCTGTGGATTTAATTTACATGGGATACTTAAATCAATATTATATCTGTAGCTGCGTGGTGGCAACAACATGGGATAAATTGCTTGGAGCTGCAAAGAATAGCTGTGCGGATCTTGAGTCAAAGTTGCTCATCATTTGGGTGTGAGCATAACTGGAGTATACATGATCAGATGTACGGACAAAGGCATAACCGGTTGGCACAGAAAAGATTGAACGAAGCTATATATGTTCACTACAACTTGAGGCTTAGGGAACGCCAGATGAAAAAAAGGTCTATGTCTTCTAGCAATCCAGTTACCCTCGACAGTGTTCTGCAAGAAGATATTTTGTATGACTGGATTGTAGAGACAGAGAAGCAAACCTTGCCAGAAGACGAGGTATTATTAATAACTGATCTTTCCTTTTTTCTTAGTCAGAAATTTTTCTTGCATTGTTATTTCGACGAGGATGTATTAATTAATAATTCCAATAAAATATTATTACAGGAAATCATTTACAGTGAAATGGAAAATGGGGATGGGTACGAGAATGAAATGCAGGAGTTTGATGATGGAAATGGAGAGTCGAGAAAAGGATCAATGGAGATGGTGCTGGCAGATGATGTGGTGGTTGATAACCAAGGTTTCAACTTTATTGACGACGAAGATGACAACGAAGATGACGACAATGATGATGAAGATATGACTGAGTAACTGTGAAGGCGAAAAAGTTATCCCGTTTAATTGGGTGTTCATTTTATTCATTTGAGTATATCCAAAATTGAAATGACGATGTTCCAAAATCATTGTATATGGATTGAAACAATTAGTATAGAAGGTGATTTTCTTGAATAGTTTTTGTGATGATTACAAAAAGGTCGAATACCATAAATATATATATATATAATGTAAATAAAATTTTAATACTTGTAGCACTCAAATTAAAATATTAAAATATTTTTTAACATTAAAATCAAATAAACTATATAGAAAATTTTATTCATAGAGAGTATAAATAGCCTAAGAATTGTGTACTTTTGACAAGCAAAATAAGGAATATTAACATGGTTTTCGGGGTTTCGGGTTTTCGGGTTTTCGGGTTTGGGTTCGGGTTTCGGGTTTCGGGTTTCGGGTTTCGGGTTTCGGGTTTCGGGTTTTCGGGTTTCGGGTTTCGGGTTTTCGAAATTCGGCTTTCGGGTTTCGGGTTTCGGGTTTCGGGTCTCAAATTTCGGGTTTCGGGTTTTCGGGTTTCGGGTTTCGGGTTTCGGGTTTCGGGGT